GACTGATTGATTACCATATGCGCCCGAGTTCTCATCATCAGAAATCTGCGTCATCGACTTGCCCGCTGTTTCTCAGATCCGAAAGGTCCTAGGTTCGAGCCCTGATCATGTCAGTAGCCTTTTTTCTGAGATTTACATATGCGTACCGTCTGTGGGAAGGAAACAGAAGACTACACAATAAACTAGCCACAAAGCTGCTTACGTCTCTGAGTTAAAATTCCGCCCTCATGGCTAATGGCATGAAAATATAGATCAGCGCCAGAAATTACTTCCTCATTAAAGTTCAATGTAAACCGAACGTCCAACGGTTACAAACTCTCCTTAACTTTTATTAATGTATACTTAAACTTGCGATTACTTGAATTTCAGACCATTGAAAAAGTGGTTGCTGCGTCTCAGTCTGTGTGTTTTGTTTCGCGATCAATTGCCTAATCCTAATCCAGTAAATGTAGTCAGAATTTGATTTCTCTTAGTCTTAAAGCAGCTGTAAAGAATTTTGCGCAATATCGATACTCTTACTAGTAAAATACTGTGGCCTCAAACTGTCGATATGACCTGTTCTGTGCAGGAAGGAAGACCACGAAGTCAAATGAGTCAACGCTGCGCTGATGGTAATGATGATTATAAATATGAAGATCGTGAAACAACAAGCAAAGCCACTATCGTGGCCAATTCTGGCGTTAACAGTGTCATAATTTTGCATCATTCGTTCAGACATAATTTGCATCTTTAACCAGATCTGGCAGACCGTATCAGAATTTTTTCTTATGGGCGATTCAAGTCTCAGACTGAACTAGTTTCTAAATTTGTATGATCCATCACGTTTCGTTCTGTCCATATTCGTGATGAGTTGGCAATATCTGTTCAGAGGTTCAACGGTAAGTAAAACATTTGTGCATCTTTCTGACTGGTTTAAATCGGGCAGGTTTGGGGGGGGGCAACCAGAGCCTTCCTTCTGATTTCTCGACGAATTGCTTTTCTTCTAGACTAACTGTTTCTAACGGAACAAGCAGATGTGTCGATCTTTGTTACCATATCTTAGTTTGTCGGTCGTTCCAGGGTCGCGGTACGCGGTAGTTCAGCCCTGAGGAGTTAATTTTTTCTTAACTTTGCAATGCCATTCAATACTTTTGTCATTGCTTCTGTTCGTATTACTGTGACTGTAGGTGCGTATCATGGTTTTCGTGGTTCTTATGGGATATCATTGCATATATACTTTATTCTACAAGTCACCGATATTTTGAATCATTTCGTCCCGTTATCAAGGGATGAAGGAAGCCTCCGTGATCTTTCTAAATTTATGGTTCGTTTCAACACTGATTGCGCTAATTCTCTGCCGGTCTGTTTCGTGATTCTTGATGACACAGTGTTGGACAGTTGTTCCCTGCATTCTTCTTTACAGCCATTGGATACTTCGTGTTCCTTTTTCTCTTAAGACAGCGTTGTTCCATCTCGTATGTGTTCGTTTCTTCTTTCTTCGATGGGATCTCTGATTTCCCTGATCTGAACTTCACTCCTTTTACCCGACATATAGTAAAACCATCCGCATCGTTCGCCTGGTGGCACCTTTGTTTTGACATTTGTCAGTTGACTACGAAGTGTGGGTATCAGTAAACTTGAACACAGTTTTCAAGCTGAGAGTGAGGGCAGTCCTATGAAGCTTTTCGTTCAGGTTGCGCATGTTAAGCACACGTACTATATTTTCGGTACATTCGCTGATTTATTAATTTCCCGCAAAAATACTTAATATTCAACTCAGTACAGACATGACAGAAGAGTTTGAGGAGAGTTAACTGGACGAAAATGTCAACAATCAGTTGACTACATGAAAGCGGATGATGAGCCGATGGTGACTAAAAGGCTATTCTTTCGGATGGAAGACGAGAAAGAAAACGATATCGGAAGTGGCTATGCTGTGCATGGCATCAGTCACTAAGAAAATAGTCAGAATGTCGAATATAACTGTAATTATGGTTGTTAAAGCATGAAATGAGACAGGAAGAGACAAATTAACTGACAGACTGGACGAACATCATGGTGATTCATTCACAGAATATTAACTGACAACTAACGAGTCAACTCATTGATTCTCTCAGCTATCCTCAGTTAAGCCTCTCTTCAGTTGCAGATCGTATAGCTCTTTTTCACTTCCTCGTTGATGCCGTCCGTCAGCAGCAGATTATTCGGCACTTCAAGTATGCGACGGTGGTCGCCTAGGGGTGGTACGTTTCGTTGAATGACTCGGCTCTTCTCGTTCGAATTTAAGTAGTACCGCTTGGGATGAATTTTTTTTCGAGCTTAGTACTCCTTCAGGCATTGAGGAAAATTCATTTCTTCAGTAGTAAAATTGCCATAAAAATCGAGTGGCACAGATGCATAAAATGACAAATTAATTTTCTAATTATCCCTACGTAAAAGTCCCTACGATTTTCCCTACGATTTTCTCCAGTGGCCGAGGAAATTGCCGGGACCTCAGTATTTCTTGTTATAAAGCCGTGGTACTGTGCAGCAGTGTCGAAACTCTTATAGTCAAAGAATAAATAGACAAATAAATAGTCAACGAAATCAAATTAATTCCGTTTCGAACCTGTCTCGCACCCAGCAGTCTGCTGACATCTCTGACCACTGAAACCGAATAGAATGTCATTTTGTCAGGATTTTATATGTCAAGCAAATGTACAGACCCGAAAGTCTCATTGGCAATGAATATGAATCTGGAATAGCTGCAGAGCAGAGAAGAATACCTTTCGGTTTGCCATGCGAAACTTGCGAACATTAAACAAATCTGCAGAGACTACGTTGGTTGCAGAAGAACTGAGTAGAGTGGGAATGCAAAGAGTTAAGTGCAATACAGAAGAGGCACAGGCTTTGGAAAATCGTTGTGACGGCTGGAATCTCTGGCCTTTGTTACGTTCAGAATGCAACAGAAAATGCTGAAGGAAGTGGGGTCTCACGAGCAGTCAGTGGAAGTGCAAAAGTAATCTTTACACACTGAATCGGTAGACTCAATTCACCACGTTTCCTTTTCATCAGAATTTATCCAACACGCATAAAAGATGTCAGAGCCGATGATAAAGTTAAAATGAAGTTCCGATCTGATGGTTCGAAGCAAAAGATGGAGCACAAAGCTAAAAATCGATAAGCTCAAATGTCCTGAAGTATGTCAAGCATACCAGATCAAGAACGGCAAAGATTCCGCCTAGTAGTACAAGCGGGTACCCTATGCTGTTATATGAGGAAGATTAGCATATCCATGTATGGGGGCCATTGCCAACGAATGGCTGATAACAGACATGCAAAGCACCTACCGAGTGCAAAGTTTTACAGACTTCAGGCAGCAACCAAGGAAACCTTCAACACGATGGTTAGATCTGAAATAGCATGGAAACGACTGAACAGTGAGTACTCATTTGTTCGATGCAGATGGAATGCTTGTACGACACCCAGCGTCGTTTTGGATGCAATCAAATTAAAACAGGATTGGTCATGAAATTCAACTGATGAGAATTTGCCAATTTAAATTGTATCTTTAATCAGTTTAATCTCGGTATTATTTCATTTCGTTTAGAACTTTGTCAAATTTAATCATCTATGACTTTCCTTTGGCGAAATACCATCGACAGGCGGCAACGATGAAAATACATGACAGTTTCACGTACAACTTCTCATTAATTGGTATTTAATTAGAAAAAGCGTTCATTGCTTTGAATATAATGCTTTTTTATTGGGTTGAGGTAGAAGCATGAAATAAAAATTGCCACAAACTCACGGAAAACATACTGTTAACGGTTTTATTGTTTCAGGCCGTATTTGTCATGAGGATATGTTCACGTAAGCCATATCTCGTAAATTTAGTGTTATGTAGATCTGTGACTTCAGTTATTAGTTCCGGGAGCAGGTGTTCTCAATAGAATTAGAGGTAAAGAAAAGTTGATATTCTTCAAGACCCTCCAGTAGTGCGTCTGAATTATGATTTAGCTCGATTTCTATCCATGGCTTGAAGTAATTCGTTTCACGCTAAAAATTAATTTATTGACATCAAAGGACGTTCATTTGTCAAGACGAAGGTTCCTATTTCAGATACAGACCAGACACGTTTAACGCTGTACTAAATAACTTTTCTAACCGCAGCCAAGCAGAATTTTGCGTATAT